GGGGGGGGGTATTTAATTAAAGCACCTGCAGTGTCTCCTGTATCAGTGTCCCCACACTTCAAAATGGCGGCATAAGTGCTTGAACTAAAGTTCATTCATTTAGCTAAAGAGCTCCTGCTGCCATTTTGAAGCACAGGGATGCTGATACATGAGACACAGAGGCTGGCTGGAGCACACTAATTAGCATGCTCCAGCAGACTTGATTAATCGAATCTGCTCTGACATGCTGTAATTCCAGCAGATCAGAGCAGCCTCTTAGCACGTCTACAGGCACCCATGGGTGGTATAAGTGTGTGAATTCCTCTCCACGGTGAAACACCTAAATATCTCCAAACCTGTACATCACTAGTTTGCAATTGTTGCAGAAAGACCAAAGAACAAATGGCCCCAAAAATTAACCTTCCTTTACATTCCTTCCCAAACATGGGTCTGTCCAGGTAAAATATAGAGTATCCTGGCACAGAAGCAAAAGCACACCTTGCAATTCTGTTGCCTGTTGTCTCTGGTGGCAAGAGGAGTTTGGACCCCCAAATATATGATTCAAGCACTTTTCAGGGGGACCAAATTCACTTTGACACAAAGCAAACAGGAATCATAATATATTTCATTTCAAACTTATTTATGCTACATATTGATCCTTATGATATCAGACCCACTTCACTGTTTCTAGGACTTTGTCCTTCAAATGATTCATTATTTGAATCACAGCTGGCAATGAAGTTTCCAGCCATTCTCTCTCTTGTATCATATAAAACAATTAATCCCATTAAAAGTGTGAGTGTCTATGTGTGTGTGTGGCAGGGGGGTAGATGGGGCCAGGAGGAAAAAAAGAATGGGACAGAGTATAATAAGTAAATCCACTAATGTATCCAAATGACTCCAAAGTGTCTAAAATTGCTTTTATGCAAGGTTCTGTGCTGTTAATCTGTCTGTGAGACAAACATGTTTAACAGTAGATTATATTTAAGGGTGAAGGAAAAGCAAAGATATATTAAGTGTTCCCCTCAAGGCTCCTTCCTGCTTTCACAAACCCCATGTTTACTGCAACATTCTTCCTAATCTTTGCTTCTTTCTGTTAGGAAAGAAGTTGGAAAGCACTCTGGAAAACTCAATTCCACACATTACAGTAATGAGCTCCTCATTCTTTTCTTCTATTTTAGAAAGAAAAAAGCAAAGCAGAAGAAATAGGGGGAGCTGAGTATAAAACAATGTATGAACTACTCTGTTTGGTCAACATGAGTCCTGATCCTTCAGAAACATCAGCATATACTGAACTTTAAGTACATGAGTCACCATATGCCCGAAGTCTTTACAAGATCAGGGCCTTGTTCTCAAAACCAGGAGGATGTTTCCCTACCAGTATTTGTTTGTTTTCTAACTGTCTAATAGGATAAAAACTCTGAAACAATAATCTTTTCTAATAAACTACACAGACTTACCTCTGCCATATAAAACCTTCAATTAATCTGGTATTACTACATGGGGATAGTGCCAACCTTGCTTAGACTTAGATTTATTATTGAAAAAAATGCATAGTCTCATCAAATTACCAATATAACAAATCAGTTTAAAAACAAACAAACAGTTTTCCAGCAATCTCACTACAAATGGGCTTATGAATAATTGAGGATAGCCACTGTTATTAAGTTGTTCCAGATAAATCTTTTCTTGGAGCTTATCTATGCATAAAAATTGTATCTCCTAACCGCAGACCCCTGAACCCAGTGGGTACATTTGTACTGGTTAAAAAGGGTGCTTATAAGCAAAATCTCTCATTCTTTTATGGAAGGCAAATATGATAAACTAGTGCAAGACTCCCCTATACCTGTGTAACTGTGTCCACACTTGGACTTGTATAGACTGGTTAAAAGGGGGGGGAAAAAAACCCAAAACACCCACACCTCTTACAACATAGAGAGAGACTAATAAAACTTTCTCAAGTGTAAATCAAGTCTTAAGACTAAATCACACTGCAGTATTACTATGAGTTGGTAAATAAATAATCTCTCCTGTTTAAACTGGAGCCTCCGAACACAGAGAGCTCAAAACCTCATATTTTAAAGCTAGTATTCTAGGAACAGCAAGTATTAGTAGTCAGGGCACAAAAGGCCTAGTGTCCCAATTTATCACAGCTTGTGACAGGAGTGTGCTTCCCATATGGGAGAAAAGGATGAACAAAATAGTCCCCCCAGCATTCTGTTGCTATAGAAGGTGCAGGGATGTTGGCTTTACAACTCCCTAAGGAGTGCTACTCTAAGTTCTTGAAAAACTGTTCAGCAAAGAACGCAGACTTGCTTACAGGAGCTAGAGAGAAGCTAGGCAACCTTCCAGTATGTTTACCAAAGGCCCTATAGTTCAAGGGGGAGTAAAATGGTAATATATTAAGCAAAGAAATTGAATTTATATCCAGAACATTTTAATAACTGGAACTATAAACACACACACAGTTGTTTGAGCTTCCTTGCTGCAAGTTGGTCCAAGAATGGATGGACAGACATTGATATGAGCCTTTGTAAAATATAAGGACTTGTTTCCCTGTTGTTCAAATTCCACCTACTTCACAAGTTGTCACTACTCCTGTATTGCCAAGAAACTGCAAGTTACTAAGGTAAAAAAGCCTGGCAGCACCATGGGGGGGGGGGGGGGGTTTGGGTGTTTGGGGGTTTTTGTTTTTTTTTTAACTGATATTGCCACTAAGTGAATAGATACCTATATATTTAAAGCTACAATCACATTTGCCTTCCCTTTGAACAAAGTCTCAGAAGTCTCAGGATTGGACAAACATTTTTCATGCAAGATCAGGGAGGAGGGTCCTTCTGCTCAGTACCATTGAAGGGAGAAGGGCAGGGATATTTTAAAATAAAATGAATAAAAAACTCCAATTTCCAGGGCCATCAATCCAATACCTTTTCACAGCAGAAAAGGGCCGGACGTGTCTCTTTCCAGAGCATCCCTGTTATCACCAGTCAAAACATAGATTTTTTTGAATTGTCTACCATACCATCACCCCACAATGATCCCAGCATTTGTGAGGGACAAATTATGGAACCCAAATTTGGATTCTCATAATACAGCGTGAAACAACCACTGACTTTAAGCCCTCAAACTTAATGCACACAGAAGGAGAAATTCCAACCACATCTAATGTCATTTTTGCTGCACCCAAAAGGCCATTCTAGCTGTACTGCACTGTCTATTGTAAAGAGCAACAGATCAGCTCCTAAGCCATTTATCAACATGTATGCTCTGAACAAGACAGCTACCTTCCAAACATTGCCTCACTTCACAGGAAAAGTGGAGTGTGTGGACAGTGTTTTGTGGCCAAGGGAGTATTTTGTGCATAACATCTGTGTGGGAAACACCTGCACTCCAATTGCTCTGTTTATAGCCAGGCCATCAACTGACAGAAGGCTTTGATCTTCCTATCTGTTATCAGTCCCATGCATTTCTGATGCATTACACTAATCATAAAAAATGCTGGTAGGCAAGAAGCAGAGCTTTGTTTTTTAGGTTGTAGTCTGGCTAAGCAGACAAAGATCATCTGGAAAGCCAAACTAAAAATAAAATTATATTATCTCTCTTTTTCCTCAAGGGAGAACAATGAAAATGGAAGGCAGGAAAAAAAATCAGGAGGGGAAGTAAGCAAACATACAGAAGAAAAAGCAAATTTTCTTAATAGGCATTTCACAGGAAGAAGAAATTGCCTCCTTTACTCTCTTCAGAGATGCTCATTCACAGCAGGTGGAGTAATATAAGTATGTTTACTCATTTAAAAATAGACATAAGGTCAACATTGCTCACATAATTAATTCAGAGGCCAGCAAATTGATTTGTTATGAATACTACCCACATCCAGCTCCTATCAGAAGTACAGATTTTACAGCACTAAGTGTTATGTGACTAACAGTAGCACAGCCCTGATACAATCTCCACAATGGCTGCTACTCTGCACTGAGAGGAAAAAAAAGGAGGGGAAAAAGTATGAGGAACTGATGACTCCTGTGCTAAGCACAGACAGTCAAAAAGCCCAAGGCTGAATTGATTCAGTCTTTGCAGGTTCGTCTAAGCTGCAAAGATTGAACCAATAAGCACGTGAACAGACATTCACTTTTGATTCAGGAAATGCAGCCACATGACTGCAGTGGCTCAAGTCAGAAGCCAGGGGGGTGGGGTGCTAGAGCACAGCTCTCTGGCACATAACTAGCATGGGCTGTGTGTTCGATTCTTCTTCCAGCTGCCCCTAAGGTTTGGGATTTGCAGTCCAGACTCATAGCAGCAGCACTCTGCAGGGTTGCTCATCACTTCCAGTTCCTGCTTCTAGGTGCCTCTAGGATTTGTAGTCCACAGTGAAGCCAGCACTAAGTAAGTAGGGCAGGGAAGCTCCGTACTTGGGCAAAGGGAAGTTTAATCCTCCTCCCTGGCTCTGGGGCTAGCTTTGGGGGACAGTGAGCCAGCCCTTGCTGCTCCAGCTAGGGAGGAGACAGCCCAGGGCTGCAAGATGCTGGGGGACTCTGATTTGATCTGAACCAGGAAGGGGTCAGGGACAGAAGTTTCATAAACCAGTTAAGTCTGATACTACATTCCACCAGGTTTATCTTAAACCAGTTTCAGCCATTTTCAAATTGGTTTATGTATACTGAACTTCTATTCTGTTACAGGTTTAAACC